CAAGAACACCTCAAAATCGACATTTCGGGCACAAATGAGGAGTGTACGGCCGCACACTCCTGTGTACGGCCGCACACACCCTCTGTACGGCCGCACACTCCCGTGTGCAACCGCACACGCAGCCTGCCGCAACCCCACTCAAATGGCCGTTACACCTCCCTTAATTGATCATATAGGGTCCCGACAAGCATTTCCAAGTCTTTAGGGTGGTTTCCGTCATGTTTAGCCATAAAACACCCTAATTCTAACACACATATGTGTTATCACATGCTAATAGGATCCATTTGCGTGCGAAACATCAGTTGACACTCAACACTCGTAACCAACTGTGCTTTCGAATCCTACGATAAACCGTGAGTTCATACCCCTACATTTTCCGTGTTTTTAATGTTTTCAGGGGGGAAATACAAGCAAAAGTACAAGGAAACTTGTGCTCAAATTATCTCGTTTTGCATAAAAATGATTTTATGTTCAGTATGCTTTTAACTCAGAAAACCGTTTTACCAATCGATTAAAGAAATCAACTTGTAGAAACAGTTTTCATATCTAAAGCAAGAAACTTATGAATCATGTAATAATATGTATTATCTTACAAAGGATTCATGCAAATCATAAACATGATTTTCGTATTATTACTTGTAAATTTGTTAGGCTAAGTTTGAGACATGTCCTTGGTAACACTCCCCCAGATTCGTGAGTGGAGGACTACGACTTATAACCAGAATCTCTTGGAGGGAGAACGTGACTATTGTGTATAGATCTATATGGGACTGACTATCCCGCACCCTCGCTGCTAGCTACAGCGGAACCGTTAGGTTCAGGGGTGACAAAGTCATAAAAGATATTGGCCCCCGTCCGTGCCTTATCCAGTCTAAGTACGGTTATGGCACTCACAACTTAGGTAACGAGAATTTACTTATGTAATAATGAAATCAGTGAACTAACCTCAAAGTAATAACCGATTTGATTACTAGAGGGCATCAGTAACGCCCTTAGGATCTAGTTCACTACCTATCTTATTAGTTTTATTTACGTAATAAGGCTAATACATCTCACAGTGAGTAACCAGGGTTTTTCAAAGAAACTACATCTATCGATACAAGTATGATAGATACTTGTACACCTCGTATCAGAATCAAAAAATCAACTATCAACTTGAAGGAAATATAGGGTTTTCTTGGGATAAACTTAACCTTTCATAAACGACTGTTTAACGTGTAACCAATGGATAATCAAATCTCTTTCATAAGAAAATATGGGATTTTCTTGGGAAACAACTTTTCAAATAATCAAAGAAACATTTCTTTCACCAGAATCAAACGCTTATGAACTCACCAGCTTTATGCTGATATATTTTAAAACTGCTTGTATTCTCAGGGCATCAATAGACAGGTACTCTTGCCAACTTTTGGAGAAGACGGAACACTCTGAAGTCACGTCTTTTACTTTTGCTATATACTGTTATGTACAAATCATGTTTTTGAACAATGTAAATATTCATATTATAATGTAATGGTTGTGTTTACTTCGCTTACTATGATACAACTGTTGTGATACTATGCATGACGTCCTCCGCCCCGGAACGTTTCCGTCATCGGTTTCGGGGTGTGACAAATTTCCAACATCGACTTTGATCCGAATAAATAAATTGACTTTGATCTTCATACACCCATTTTCTATGTGAGAAAATCAGGATGTTTTGAATGCTTGGATTACCGAGAGTTGTGAGATACACTTTCAGATTAAAGCATTTCGAGGATACACTCAAACTCTCTAATCGGATAAAACTCAGTATGAGATCAAGAACAGAGAATGAAGATGATGATTTCTTATGTGTACCAAAAAAATGATAAAAAAATGGGTATATGACCTTTATCTGAAAACTAACAGAAGAAATGGTCATAAAACAGTTTCACAACCATTATAAACTTGTCATAAACTGCCACTAAAAACGAGTTCAAATACAAGATCACAAAACCGGGTTTAAGACACAAATTCAGATTTTAATGTATCATCTATAAGGGTCAAAACCAGCTCGACCCCAGCCAGGGGATCTTCCCCTTGGACCCCGCTCCTAGGGGCGCTGCCCCCGGACCCCTGTCGGTTCATGAGCGTCACCCCTAAATAGCAATGTACTTCCAACCAAGACAGGCTTAAACAAGTGTGCATTCCTCACCACCCAAACTTGTTTAATATTTATCAAGGCAACATTGATCAACAAATTAATCTCATTACACTTAAATAATATTAGAGATACAAATCACCAACAAACCTCCCCTATTTAAGTGTAATCTTGATTAACTTAAAATAAAATCATAACAACCACAAGTTGCTGCATAAATGAAATGTCGTGACGATTAAATTTTACATTAGTATATTACTCATTCCAAATATTTGAATATTAGGGTGTCACTAAGGATTGAACCCTTTCTATTCATAGTGAATAGATGAAGATTATACACACAACAATTTACATTCTCATAAGTTCCAACTTGACACTATATTTTACTAGTCTGTGTCATATCCTTCAATAAGCATATCAAAGCTAAGTCCCAAACTTCTTGAAGCGGCTAAACTTCATGCTTATATAGGTAGTCATTTATTCTTGCACCTGCAAATGCAATTTTTCAAAAAGTTATTAAGAAATTAAATTCAACCTCCTTTACTTGCAGTACTGAACACATACCTTGGGATGATGTTAAATAATGTGCTCCAATATTCAAATATCAAGTTTTCCGCATTGAATTTAGCATCTAATATTACATTAGATGGGAATTGAGTATCTTAATATAAAATATTTCAGGTGGACTTTGAACCCATCTCACAGTCATCTTGTGCAAAAGATCTCTTGCTAACCATTTGGTTAGATGATCGGCTAAATTCAATTGAGTTCTTACAAACTCCACATATATCACACCACTCATGATGAGCTCACGAATCATGTTATGTCTAACACCTAAATGTCTAGACTTCCCATTATACACTTGACTATAAGTCTTAGCCAAAGTTGCAGCACTATCACACCTGATAGAAATGGTAGATATCGATTTGGGCCATAAGGGAATTTCATAAATCAAATTTCTTAGCCACTCAACTTCTTTACCAACATCAGATAATGCTACAAATTCATACTCCATGGTTGAGTTTGTAATACAAGTCTGTTTCTCGACCCCGGCCAGGGGCTTTGCTCCTTGGACCCCGCTCACAGGGGCGCTGCCCCCGAACCTCATTCGGTTCATGGGTTTCCCCCCTAAATAGCAGTGTACTTTCAACCAAGACAAACTTAAACAAACGTGCACTCCGCACCACCCTAACTTGTTCAATATTTATCAAGGCAACATTGATCAACAAATTAATCTCATTACACTTAAATAATATTAGTGATACAATCACCAACATTCTACATCATCGGTAGTCAATTTACTCATAAATAAAAATGATAGTTTGTTTGCATGGTTCCAATCTCAATAAGATCCGATTGAGACAATGTCTTTATGAGAAATTGTTTGAGGGAATTGTGTAGCCTTCAAAATAGCAGTTTTAAAGAGAAGTATTGGTTATCATCCATAAATTTATGGACAATCAAAAGTGGTTAACGAATCAGTCTGAGACCTAATTGTGTTTTTTTAATCACGAAATACCAAAAACATGGGTGAAATGGCTTCCATGGTGGAGTTTTGGTATAATACATCTTGTCGCACTTCATTTAAACACGTCCCTTTTAAAGATCTATATCGCCGAGATCCACCCAAAATGAAATGACCAGGTTCATCACAATGAATCTCCATGTTAACGTTGTATATACCCTAATAACAGTTATGAAAAATGAAAATAAGAAAAACAAATATGATTAAAGTGTGGAACAAAAAGAAACATTTATTATGGAATGTAATAACCAAGACAGACAAAGTAATAAGTTTTTTGATTATTATTATTATTATTGAAGCGTAAAATTCCAAACCAATGCCAGGTGAGAGAAGTGTAGGTGTTGAATTATTTTAGAGTTAGGATTGTGGGTATTTGTTGGGGAGTACATATATGTTTGATTGGAATGGCACGTGCATACACATGCAGGCAAGTGATGTGGGGTTGTTCACAGCTCATAAATCATAATAGTAAGCTCACAAACACAACTAAATACACAATAAACAAGGATTTGTGGCAGGCTGCAGTTGGATTTGGATGGGAAAATGAAAATCCCACGTTTATATGTAAACCAACATACACCGACATGACATCATATCCATCAACCAAATAAAAAGAAGCTTTTTAATTTTTATATAATACAAATAGATCCTATCCGATCCGATGGCAATAAATAATTAATGTTAGTAGTCATTGTGGTGCCAAAACTAGTGGGGTTTACCTTACGAAAAAGGAATGTTTGGTTTAGTGGTATAACATGAGTCATCAGAGTTTAGTAGATAGGGTCACTAGTCCTCTCCACTTGAGGTCTGAAATTCCGTTTAGATTCTGAAAAATGTCAACCCGTATCACCCATGCCGCATGTGAGGGTTAAATATTTTGGTTTTGAATCATTATTTACGTAGTTTAATTAGTTGAATCAATCCAAGACCAAATCATGTCCAAAAAACAGAATGGTCGGATGCAACACCAACAACAAACAATGGTGTGTGTTTGTGTTAAGCATTTGCAGATATACAAATAAAAGCATCAAACAACACCACCACCGCTTTGAGTTTGGGCTGTCTAATGCCATTCAAAATCCAGATGCACACTTGGAATCTCTACATATTACACTTCATTTAACAAAAGTAAACTGTTTTTTTTTTTTTACTTCAAACAACAGAAGGGACTCGCCTTGTAAGTATGAAATATTACGGGACAAAAAATGAGGGAGAAACCCTCCCCCTTGACAAAATCTGATAATAAAACATACGTGACACATTATACAAAAAACAAAAACAAAAACCTAAATGATAACAATAAAAATAATAATAATAATAATAATAATAATAAAGAAATAGATAAAAGTAAAACACCCAACTCATCTCTCAACTCTGAAACAAAATTATATTCTACTCGGTACTCACTCTGTACATCCATTCATTCATTCGTTCATGTGTTGCTTTGGTGAACCCTCCTGGAATGGATCACTCAGAAACATCAAGGTTTAAGGTTGGGGTCAGGGTCAACCCTCCAGTAGTTTGAATCATTAAAATCCTTCTTCAACTCATTTTTTTCCTCTTTTTCAGGTCCAGGAATCACCTCCTGCTTTTTCAAAGGCCCTGCTTCCCCAACAATCCCCTCCTTAAGAGCCCCATCCATGGCCTTTTCACTCCCTTCCACTTCCAATTCCAATTCTACCCCTACAAACTCCACATCTTCTTCAAACAAACCACCAGCCTTTTCCTTTTCCTTTTCCTTTTGGCTTGACCCATTTGCATTTGCATTTGCATTTGCATTTGCTACAGAGGTATTTTCGTAATCCAGAAACGGATTCACCCCTCCTCCTCCTGAAACCCATTCTGGCATCGGCCTATCTGCAAACAGATCCTCCTCCTTCTCCTTCTCCTTCTCCTTATCATTTTTCAAATCTCCGTTTATTACATTCTCCTCTTCAATAAACGGATTTTTTTTATCTCCATCATCACTGCTGTTAGATGTGCCACTTCCACTGCCATTCAAATTGATCTCATCCATTGCTTCAGAATGTGAGGTAGGCCCCTCACCCTCACCCATTCTCATTCTCTCCTCTTCAAAAGCAAACCAATTTGAATTTGTAAACAGACTGCCTTCTTCATCACCATCACCTAACCTCAACGATGATATCACAACTTCAGCCGATTCATCATCAAAGTAACCATCCTGCAATTTATTAAAAATAAAATAAAATACTTTATATTTTCCAAAATCAATAAATTAAATCAGGTATTATTATTTCTTTATTACCTCGTTGTCTCGATTAAGAGTTCCGTGACCCTGAAAGTAAACATTAAAAAAATATGGGAATGAAATTTTATTTATGTAACTAAACACAACATTTTACATTTAGGCTTTTAGAATACCTCTTGAGTTTCTTCATTGTCGTCGTCGTATATGTTGTATCGAAATGCTTGACTTAGATTATTTGCTAAAGCAGCAACGTCATAGTCTCTGTCATGAATCTCATCTTCATCACTGTCCCTACTTCTCTCTTGCAGTGCAGATGGCCGCCTATCATTACAACACACACATATATTTATTTATATAAATAAAATAAAAATAAAAACATATTTATATGAAAAAAATTAGATTAAAAAAAAACATACCCGCAAGCCCATCGGTACACATTTTCAACCATGTTACGTTCCTGTAGAACTGTACTCTGCCATTCGCTCCATTCACTACTTTCCTACATCACAAATTGTAAACATCAAATTAATTCTTCATCTTATCTTTAATCAAAGATTCTATGAATCAAAACTTACCTTCATGTGTGTCTGGATACGGCTATCACTGTTTGCCAGCTGGATGATTTTATTGGCAATACGTGTCACGTGTCCTAGGTTTCCAACTCGAGGTGGATTTCTTCCCGAAGCCACCAATGTTGGCTGCATACCCAACACCCAACACAACACTGACTATTACATATACACTTGAAAATATCTACATTCATAAACAGTTAGTTAGTTAGTTACCTGATTAAGGGTGGGATAATTATCTGCTTGCTGGATCTTTGTTATCAGAGAACAGTCTTGAAATAGATGATCCATGATGGTGTCATTTCTACTTTCTAAGCAGGAATATAATATGCTTTCAACATGATGATGTAAACCATTATTAAATGGGTACCTACATATAATTATAAACTCAAACCCTTCAGATCCTAGCAACACCAACACCAAACTCCACTCATTCATAAATTAATCATCATATTCTTAGTTCTTAGTTCTTAGTTCTTACTCAAAGAAAAGATCAAGAACTCTTTGAATAGTTCCAGATGCGATTAATTCCTTTTCTGCAGTTTGATTTCCGGTTTTCAGTAAAACTGCTATGAACTCCACAGTCTTTAAACGATGCTTGCCTAGAGGAGGCTTCAATTCCCCATATGAAGTAGGTAAAACTTTATCATCCAGCGACACATTCAATAACATCAACAAGTCACCTGAAATAATGGACATGATTTAAAAATAATAAATACCATGATATCATCACATGCACAAGAGAAGAAATTACTGACATGACATGAGATGGCTGAAACTCACCTAGTTTTGGAAGCATTGCACCTACAGTCTCCTGGTTGACTTGTACGGGTGATTCATACATGTGTTGACCTCGAAAAGAATTGAATAAAGATGAAGGGGCTGATTTTTTAGGATCTAATAAGGATATGCACACAGATAATGAGTGGACAAGTCCTGATTTTGAATGTGAGTCTTCCAATGCGTGACCAAATATCCTTGTAACGTAACTGAAAATAGATTTTACATATTATTAATAGAAAACCATTAAGATAATGTATTTTAAGGGAGTAATTAAGCAGTGAATGAACCTTGAGCTTGAAAGCTTAGAGGCAAGTGGAGATGGAGCACTTCGGGTTATAGCACATAAAGTTTCGGCTGCATTAGCATGTACTTCAGGAGGAGCCTGTCAGTAACATATGAAATTAAAACCATATCATGCACATCCACAAAATTATATATATATAAATTTAACAGCAGCTGTCTGTCATGACTCATGACTCATGATCAGATATATGTTTATATATCAAAAATGAAACTCTACTCTACTTACAGATGGATTCAGTTTATCCACAATCATTTCTAACAAATTGCTGTCTGCCAACCATTGCATGACTTCTGCATAATTGGGATACATATGATCATCACCTCCAACAAGTCTCACCAACACCTGTGTGTGTGTGCGTGTGATCATAAAGGTCAAACTCAATCGCATGTGTCATTTTTAAGCATATGGTCAACAACTAGCCTTTCTGCAAGCTAAATAAGAAATTTACTAACCTCCTTTATTGATGTAATTCCTATTAAATCCACTAGCTGCTGGAAAACATATTGATGGGCCTGTAGCATTTGAAAATTGAAAGCTCAATCATATGTCCATTAACTTGCATGTTTACTTTGCAAAAAGCAAAATGGTAAGCATACTGGTAACTTCTATTGGTTGCTATAGACTTTTCTCTTTGAATATATATATATATATATATATATATATATATATAATAGGAATGTAAAAGTAAGAAGCGTGTAAACAATGTATTTACTCACTTGAACATAATTCATAAGTGGAACCGTCTTGCGTACCATGAGACATATCACAACCTACAAGAAGCAGATAAAAATCTAAGTAATTTGCTTAGTTCAAAGTAAAACCAATTTATGTATATTATTTTTACCAAGTCAAAGAAGTAAACCTTAAAACACTTGGTTTGAAGTAAAACGAATCAAATAAGGGTTAAAAAAGCCATCAACATGTGCATCTATAGTTACAAGAGTTTACAACTTCCAAATTCAAGAATACTATTTTAACAATATATTTCTCATAATCATATTTAAAAACTGAAGTCTAATAACTTTTTAAGATCAGAACTAATGCAAAACCTCCTTAGCTCAACACACTTGATATAGTTGAAATTTATCCACAATCAAAACAGTTCTTAACTAGTATTATGTTTGGTTTAAATTATTACTGATATTATATCATATATTAATTAGAAAGTGCTTAATAACAGTATATTTTTCCACTTTTAAGAGTTTTGCAACAAATATTTTGGATATTGGCACACTTAGTCCCTACAATTTTGTAACTTACAGAAAAGATCCCTGTGAGGTTTTTTTTACAGAAACAGTCCCTATGTTTAAGATTTTCATACGTTGGCAGCTTTGGCCCCTGTGTAGAAAATAAATAACAAAAATTGTTCCCGTAATTTACAGAAAAGGTCCTTGTGTATCTTTTTACAGAAACGATCCATATTTTTCAACACACAAAGATGACTTCGCTTCAGATTGAAGAAAATGATATACCAATAATACCATCTTGATAGTTATGTCACCTGTTTCTCTCCATCCCTCCAACCAAATTATGAGAGATAATGTAATGGCAATCAAGGCAAGGAGATTGTAGTATTTAGGAATATACCTTACTGAAGTACCCGGCCAACAAGGCACTATGTGGACGTGTTGGCTCCAAGAAGGAGAAAAGTAAATTCATTAGCTGCAATTATGGAATAGGAGGAAGGGGTTGTGAAACTAAAAGTTAGATGCATATTTTATAAAGTCATGAATGTTAAGTAATCATAGAATTAATAGCACACCTCCTCGTCCTCAACTAAAGCTTTGAAGATTACATCAATCTCACATGTGAATATCTCACAAGCAATGAAGGGAAACCTAAAGGATAAAAGAGATATTAGTAGATATACATAAACTTTATTCCAAATGATTTAGTAATGAAGGACCTACTTGAATGTACGTTTGCTATCAGCATCCTCTTGAGACTCTACTATGATATACTGCAATAGTTGTTCAACTTGGGCTCTGTCTCGCAAGCTGGAAAAAAAAAAGTACTCTTTCAAGTAATGCAAATAGTAGACTCCTATTATTGTAATTATAGTTTAATACTGTGGAGACATTATGATTTCTTGTGTGGTGGAAGTAAAGTGTATGTAGATAATAGTTGTAATTCAATGAGTTTAAATTACTAGTAAAGTGTTATTACAAATTAATGAGACGGCTATTCAATGCTTTGCATTCTTGAATAATATCTTCTTCATCCAAGAGCTCTTCCAATGTGAAATTTTCCTTGTCCAAGACTGACTCGACCTAAACCACATGACAAACCAACTGTTAGGAAAAAGTAAACATTTTATGCTTTATGGAATCTCAGATTACCATTAAGATAAAGACCATCCTAAAGTGAACACATACGATTGATAGAACAATATGATGTGCTATCATATAATATGAACACACCCATGAATAGACAAAATAATCCACATAGAAGGAAAGAGTGATGAAGGTGATAAGTTCTACAGTAATTTTCTGCAATTAAGCATGATTGCACAAGAAAGATTGTAAAAAAAGCCGCAGGTCAAACAGAGAAAATTCATATGAAGAGAGAAAGCATCAGCCTGATTTTTACAAAATTAGATATCGAGCCATGCCATCCAGAAAGAAACTTATATAACCACACCCATATTATAATCTGATATCTTGTAAATCCTCACAATTGATTAACTGATACCACTTCCTTTCTCCTGTTAATCCCCTTCTGTAACATATGATCCGATTATTGGTACTCATATCCATCTACAAAAAAATTCTAACTTCCACTAATGATGCTCTTGTCCCTCAGAGGCTCAGACCAAGTGAACATGTACCCCCTTCACCTTGTTATTTAAAGCCTGACTTATCAACCGAAAATCTATTTACTATGAAGCATGTAACTTTTAGGGGAAGATTTGTGGTCGAAATATTAACTTCCAATAGTCTTTTGTGTCATCAAGTAACCTCTCGATCAATCTGAAAATGAAGTCATTCCTGAGTGCTATAGACAATGTTATTGAATCCCATGAGATGGGATTTGTTGCATCATTTTCCTATCATCCAATGCTCAATCACTTGGTTTAGGTGGAAATGACTTTTTATACACTTATGTTCTACCTTAATGATGTGAGATGTCCTCTCACATCTTTATGTTTTGTGTCCTGACTCCTGATGTTTCTGATGCATCTTAGAAGCATTCACAAGACAGGTTAAAGAATTCAGTTCTGTAACTATGGTAGATGGGGTTGGGGTAGCTTGACTATGGAACCAAGGCAATTGGAAGATGTAACAACAAATTTATGTTCTTTTTGCTCATTACATCTCGTCTGTGCTATTCATGCCGAACTGCAAGGCCAGTCATGCTAACTTAAACCCATATGTTCTCACAGCTTCCATTACAAATACCCGCCTACGGCTAAATTAGCATACCAAATCGTAATTGAACCTCAGTATCCAAAACTAAATAAGCTTCAAATATAAGTTATTCATAATCAAGTACGCACTTAATTGCTTAATCATATGAATCAAGCTGAGGTCTGAATGAGCCAAACACCATCACGTTTACGCTGTAACGATGCCAATAGCGTACATGAATAAGATAGTAAATTAATACCATATCGAGATCCATACAGAATCAGAACAAAATCAGATTATAACGAAAAAACATGCAAATCACTCAATACTAGTCATCAACAATTTCATTACACATGATTCAACAAAAAGATATATATTCCATCGTAACTTACAGGTGAAGAAGCAGATAGAGCTGTAAGTTTCCAAAACATGATGAATTATAACTCGCTTGGATCTACAAACCCTAGGAAATAGAACGTATGAAGATGAGTCCCAGATTGACGGTTGCGCGTCAAAAACTTTGGGAACAAATCCAACAAAAACCCTATGTTTTGGATATTGCAGAGAGAGAGGGAGAGGGGAGAGAAAGAGAGAAAATCAGAAGGCAGTAAAAATTGACAGATTTGAGAGACAGGGAGAGGAGAGAGGAGCTCCAAAATTTTCTCAAAATCGCAGCTAAGAGAAAGACGAAGGCTGTGTGGTGTGGTGACAAGGGGCAAAGGCCCGGGTCTGGACCTCTAAAATGCTAAAATGAGGTCCGGATTTTACATCTAAAAAAAAACGGATAAAGAGTGTTCTTTAGATTCACATATAGATTCATTTGCAAACGATAATGACATTTTAGATATAACGATTACCTAAATCTTTAACTCTATTAGCACCAAAAAAAAAAACAAATAAATTAATAAATTAAATGTTTATTTTTACAAAACTAACTGTTAGTTGGAAACTAGAAAACGGAAAGTTATAGCTTTTATTTCTATTAAAAAGTAGCAAGATAAAAATAATTATACATTTTTAAATATGTAAAATAACATAAAAGTAAATATTAAAAACTAAAAACTTTTAAAAAACTATTTCACATAGAATTTAGGTTAAAAGTTTTTTATCCAAAATAAAATTCTAAATAAGGAACGAAATTTTTGATGTAGTTTAACTTTTTTAAAAGAAAAAAAAACTAAAACAAAAAGTTAACTTTTTAAAATCTGTTGTCAAGCATACCTATAAAAGAGTATATAATAACCATTATTATATATATATTAAAGTTGTGAAAAGTTTTAACAGTAAACCTGAGACATTTTGGCCAACTTTGGCCCCTTAAATTACATTTTCGGTCCCTCTATTTTTGTTTGTGTGTCACTTTGCCCCTACAATATGAGCGGCTTCTCCCTTAATATGCGTACAGCCGCTTCGTCTTCCAATAACAAAGCACCGCTACTACATCCACCGCCATATGATGCAGTAGAACCCACCACCGATCCATCTTACTTTAACCATCAACCGATTGATTCGCTCTCTGGAATCTCGGCTTTTTCCATTATCTATCGATTCCTCTCCATCTAACCCTTCCCACCTCCTCTTTCACAACCCTTTCCATCTCCCTACTATCGACCCCGACTTCATTTACCAACATCATCGAATCCTACACAGAATGCACACGAAGATTGGTTGACTAAAGATCCACAATCGCTTGAGGTAAGGTCCTTCAACCGTATTTATGTTAACATCCACTAATCCATCTTTCTAATTGTTTCTTTGTTACAGTTTCTTCTCGCCCTTCCTCTCTTCCAATGGCTTCGCCGCTTCAGTTTCGATCAGACCAGGGCCACATAAGTTATCGTTCGTTTCTTCCTGTAATAGAAATTCGATCAGACCAGGGCAACATAAGCTATCGTTAGGGTTGAGTTTTGGGTTTATGATGTGGTTTCAAGTGTACAGATGTTTAATCAGCCAGGTACCGTTGCCCTTTACTATTTGGGGTTGCTTTCCTATTTTTCATCTCCGTATTCAATCGCCAAATGACTTTGGCTTCCTTTTTTTTAATTTCGTGTATTTTGTAAACCTTTGTGATCAGTTTTTGGGGATTTGATTATAACTGATTTTCCATTTGTGATTTCCGCATAAAGAATGATTGCAGGAAAAGCACACGACCTGTTTGATAAAATGACCGAGAGAAGTGACTAGATTTTAGGTTTCCTGGTGCTTATTGTCGCTGCTTTATTCATTATAGTTTAAATTTCTAAGCAATCATAGAAGACTTTGGGTTGTTTCCTATAGCTACATCATGTTCTATAGAAGGCTTTACGTTGTTTCCTATGGCTAGACCATGTTTTAACTCATGCTAAATTTTAGGTTGGCTCTTTGACTTCCTTTGTTTTAAAAAGATTCAGTTGTACGAGATGTATCCAAAAGGCCAAGCTAGAGGGAGGCATAGGTAACATCTCAAACAGATCATACAAGCTGAAAATTACCAAAATTATCCTCCTGATGAACCAAATTGTGAGTTCTTATACAATGCTCCATCATTTGCATTTGTAGAAACCTAAGATAATGATATGTTTCATATTGCATTAGCTTATACATTTGTGATAATGTGGGTTATTGTCATTTTTTTACTGTTAACGTGGTAGCCATTTTTCTTTGACTGTTTTGCCCTTGCCTTCTCTGTTTGTTTAGCAGCTTTACATTCCACCTAAAAACCCAACAATTATCAGCATTCACACAGAGGCTGAAGGAAATGGGAAAATAAAGGCAAAAAGGTGTATGTGTGTTGATCTAATAAAATTGCCAATTCGTAAGACCCTTTGGCCACAAGCAAGTGGGGTTTTTGATTTTCTTCAATGTGGTGCCTTACATTTTTCAGATTACAGACACGGTTAAAGTATTTTTTTATCATAATTAAATACACTATTCCATTTTTTAAATACACTATATTCCTTCCCTATTTATGAAACTCTGCATTAGGATTTTAGAACTTATAACCTTTATCTACATTAATACCCTTACAATCATGCATTGCCGATAAAGATTGAGGGTATTTTACAATTTTCCTTTTTTTGTGTCATGCATATCCAACTTATGGACTTATATATATCCTTTTGTTTGAATAGCTACAACAGAGCCAAACAAAGGAACATGTAAAATCAACTTGAAACAAGTGCTTACATGCATCTTGCTTCAGCTGCAACAGCTGGAGGAATGGTAAGTTTCTTTCACTTTTTTTTTTTGCTTTATATCATTTCATATATCTAATATGTTGATTGTTATTCAGATATGTCTTTTCATGAATCCTTACCCACCTCATATTGTTGTCCCTGCTCAAAATTTTAGAGAACTTTTAAGTTGACGTTCCGCCCTCAACTGAAGAACAGGAAGTAACGAACGATAGCTTATGTGTTTTGTCAACAACAATATGTGCATGCACCATGGAAACAAGTTGCCCCTGATGTTAGCCTTTTTTGTCAAAGGTAATGGTTATGTTTTTTGGGATTTTTTTGTTAATAATAGCAGATGGTTTGTATAATTTTTTTTTTATGTTATAATGATGCAAGCCAAAAACCCTTAGTCTATAACTATCTTAATTCATTATACTTTCAATTTGCACATAAAAACATTGTAATTTGAGTTGGTATTCAAGTGATTCCAGGTTATAAGTCATTTTCATCGTCACTTAATGGGTTAAGATGCCATTTAACTCATAGTAACCAAAGGTGGAGAATATTGTACATTTGACCAAGTTGAGTAATGGAATATGTATTTTGGTAATTTCTTTACAATCAATTGGGATCTGCTTTCTTGGGCGAGAGGAATGGAATCAGTCTTCCCAATGTTCCTGTTAGTCACTTTTCATATCCAAGAGAAATAGTAGTTGATAGACAGGAATCTATTCTTAAAATTAGTAAAGTAGTGGAAACAAGAAGTTATGTTTGTAACATGTATCCACCTGTATCTGTAACTGTATGTTTTACAACTGAACACTTTCTAACCCCCGCAAAGCGGGGGTCCTTCCCTAGTTTAGAATATGTTTTTAGGTATATCCGGCAATTGTTTTTTTAACATGTATCTTAAGGGACATATAAAAACATTAATCAATGACAAACACATTCAAATTAAATATGAAATACATTACTTATAAGGAATATTATCATCATCATATATGAAATGAATTAATAATTTTCATAATAAATATATTTCGCATTTAATTATAGTAATATTTTTCATAATTAATATTAATGACACATATCAGAAAAATCCCTATATCAAATAGCCAAAGAGTAGAATAAGAAAAAATTACAAGTCAAATTGATTAATTAAGTTTTAAAATAAGAAAGAAATTAGATACAATTAAAAATATTTATATTATTAATTTTTTTTTAACGGTTGAACTTTTATAAAAAACAAAAAAGCCTAAGCAAGAAGCTAAAGGCGAAACAGAACCATTACATCATAAAGTTCAAAATGGGGGTTTGAATCCATAAATTTCACGGAATAGAGAATTTATGCTTCCGATGCACCACCCAATTAAAAGAAAAAATAACAATATCTTCGAATAACATATTTTGTCTAGGTCTCGATTGGTCAAACACACATTTATTTCTGAAGTTCCATATGGATTCGTGTAGATAACATCATTCATATTCATACTTAAATGAATAGCCTCCAAGAACAAAGACATCACATCAATTGAATTTAACTTAGACAAATCAAGATCACACCACAATACGAGTTTCTGAATCAAAGCTTTTGTTAGCGTACACTCAAGAAAAAAGATGATTAACACTCTTCACTTGATCCATGCAAATAGGACAAAGAGAACTAGGAACATCAATATCTCTAGAGATTAAGTTATTTTTAGTAGGAAGAAGATTAAGAATAGTTCTCCAACTAAAAATATTCACTTTGATCGGCACCAATTTATTCAATCTAGTTTCACCCATGCCATGAGGTAACACCATGTCATCAATTATCTCATGCGTATCTTTCACCGAAAAATCGAAATTATTAGTGTCACCCCCAAGAATCTTTAGAGTCTGAAAATTGAATATTAGCAATTAGCTTCACCATGGCCGAAAATTGGGCATTTTGAGCACCTCCTCTCATATCATATCTCCAACACCAATGCCAATTATTACTAAATTAATAAAATTGTTTTTATAAATCCTTGTAATAATTAAATAGCTTGAGGATTTTGAAACAAACTTTCGAGCTATTGAATTTAACACATTTTTACTCGATTTTTTGGATTATCCCTCTCTCATATATACGACTAATAGGCTTGTATTAAAGTTACGATTGTAAATCAAAGAGAGCAGCTCAAACTTGACTTGGGGTAGAATAAAAAAATAGTTTGTACACATGTATTTAAGACTATAAGGTGCTGTTTGTTTTTTGAAAAAACCTCTTCAAACCTCTTATTGCTGCGCGGCGCAGCACACGCGCAGCACTTTTCATCTCGCAGTTGTTTGTTTTTTAGAAGTCTTCGGAGTCAAAAACCTCTGCGTGTGCTCTGTTTGGCGCACCACTTGTATTGCCTCTTCCAACCTCTTCTTCTTCTTTTTTTTCTTGCTGTAATTTTGATTATATGTTGTTGAAATTTTATTTCACCTTTTTTTTCGTTTTTTTTTGTTTATTCTTGTTGAATTTTTTTTTCGTTTTTTTATATTCAATAATGATAATTTATTAATGAAATATCATTATTTTTTAATAAAATATCTTTATTTTTTGTTGAAGTATCATTATTTTTACTGAAATATCATTAATTGTTGCC